ACACTGCACGGGAGTCTAGATTTTTACTGTGTCGATTTCCTTGAAAAAAACGATTTTTAAACACATTCTTAATTTTTTTGGAAATAGCAGATATTGTTTAAAGTGAAGTCCTGATATTTGGCAAAGCAAATTTCTAAGTGAACATGTCTCTGCAGTGATTTTTCATGGTGTTAGACGTGCTTCTTAGCAAGTCTGCTTTGTGAGTCTGATTTCGGGCGTGTCTTTTTGTAAATTCGATTGGGCATCTGCTTATGGGCTCTGCTCAATAGTAAAAATAGACGGTCGCCCATAAAAATTGGGCATTCGCCCACGCCCAATAGTAAATCAGGGCCTATATGTCAGTGCCGGTTTCTAAATGCAATTGCAGGCTTTTTCCTTCACTATAGCTCACAGAATTAGCTGTCACTTTCCCTGGAGCTAAAGGAAACGCTAAAGGAAACTTTGTTTCTTTTATCTCAGGAAATAAACTAAAAGGAAACTATTTCTTTTAGCTCGACGGGGGGGGGGGGGGGGGGGGGGGGGTTGGAAGTGACAGCTAACTCCGTGAGCTATAGTGAAGAAAAAAAAAGAAGCCGGTAATTACATTTAAAAACCGGCACCGACATAGTGACAGCCAGTCAATGTATACACTGCTCCTCTCCTGCCTCTCTCAGCCACCCCCTCACATCTGCAGTACACACAGTCTCCTGTATCGGCTAAATTTTTCCTATCGGCATTTATTTTCGGTCAGTATGTTTCGGTGGCCGAAATTTCGGTGCATCCCTAGTTCATATTCACTATGAGATTTGATTTCTGTATTCTACAAAAAACCTGATTGACCCTGCTCTCTCTCTACCTTCTGTCCATGTCCCCAGTGCAGTTGGGGATTTTGCAGAACACTGTTGGCAGCTACCGCACATGCTCAGTTTTCAGCGAGTTTCTGTGCTGAGCATTTCCTCTCTATCACATCTGAGCAGCCCATGTGACTATAAAGTAACAAATGTGGCTGTGTACACAGTGGTAAATGACAGCCCACTCCCTCCATCCTCCTTGCCCACTAACCAGCTAAACCCAATGGCAGTAGGATACTGTCACTACCAAAAATTAAAGATTTGATTGCAAATGTTTATATGTGGGTTTAAAACAGTTTATTAATACTAAATATTTATATTTAGTGTCCTCTAGGCCGAGCCCTTTGACCCCATTGGGCTAACTTCATTCCCTGCCACGGAACAGTGTTCTCGGTTCCTAAGTTGGAGTTGCCAGGATGGTCCTCTAATGCGCCACACACATTGTGTGGTCGGACCCTTAAGCCTTTTTCCCATATACTTCCCTCTTGTCATAGTACGTCACTAGCATGGTTGGAATACACTCAACTGAAACATTATTTGAGTAAGCGGTATTGTATGGATCTTCATCGGCTTTTGAATCACTCCTATCCCAATTATCTAGACCTGAACACATGCCTTCGCAGGTATACCAAATCTTACTGCGAGAGATCTATCCGAATCCGCCTCCATTCCTTTCTAAATGGGAGCAGGAATTAAACACATCGGCGGAGGGACTGGACTGGGACAAGATACTAGCTGTATCATACAAATTATCTGTATCTTCTTATGCTCATGAACACAATTAAAAAATCCTGTCTAGATGGTATCGTTGCCCTACGATTTTGCATAAAATTGACCCATCTATCCCTGAGACATGCTAGAGATGCTTGGGAAAACTTGGGACCATGGCCCATATTTTGGACACTTGCCCAAAAATTTTGTCTTTTTGGGAGAAGATTCTCAATTTGTTTTACATTAGTGGGAGACTATATTCCAAATGAGCCTAGGATTACTATATTGTCTATGTTGCCAGGTTCGTATAAAACAAATTAAAAGGAGTCTGGTGCGACACTTTATTACGGCAGTGCGTTCTGTAAGCGCCAGGCATTGGCATCAGACTGAGGCTCCGTCTATAGCGGAATGGACTTGTGAGGTTGACAAGATTGAATATATAGATAGGATGATTGCTTGGGATGAGAATAAATCAGAATCAATCAAACTTGTGTAGTCTCACTTCAGATTGTCAACGGGCTTTGACTCCTTTATTTCAGCTTAGGTCAACATTCCCCTGCCCCTCCCCTTTTTTTTTTAAATTTAATTCACCCTGCCCCCCCCCTTTTTTTTTTTTCTTTCTATGTTCTTATTATTTTCTCTCTTTTCTAGTTCCTATTCAATAACAACTTCACAGTGTTATGATATCACTTACATATAGGGCGCATTGACTTTACGTATGCTTTCCAGATGTTCTCTCACTTACTGGTATGGGGTATGATAGCATAATTGATTCCAAGGCTTTGGCTATATCTGGTGATAGCTGTTTTGCGTATTATTCCCCTCTGTTATAGCTTTATAATGTTAGATTATGTGTTAAGCATGAGGGTGTCATACTTTTGCTCAGTTATTCATATGCTTTGTCTAAATGCAATGTACTTTTGTATTATTTGTAAATTTAAATTTATATTTACTCTGTATGCCAAAGGCTGTTTTTTTTAAATTATGAACATGTGACCATCAGCAGAGGACTAGAAGCTCCTCTTGGTTATTTTTCCATGCAAACAGGCTGGGATAAAGATGGGTCATGTGACAGCTGTATAATGATTAGGAAAAGGTACTTAGATTTGTTTTAATTAAAATAATTACAGTGCCATCATCACATACAGAATGAGAAGGAATAATGTAAATTAAACTGTGTTTAGTAACACTTTAAGAAACTGTGTATGGTGGGATATGATGGCATTACTGAAAAATAGATTTAAATGCATAGTCCACCTTTTGAGGCCATATTTGGGAACATAAAAATGGTCACATTCCTCAACTCCCCACCCTCTTTTCACTTACCTGAATTGTGCGGTGCACCTTCTTGGAACATCCTGTTCTTGTTTGAAGTTAGCATGGCTGTGCTTGGCTCCACTTACACAACCCCATCATTCTTTCACATATCCATTCATAATATTAGCTGAATGGGAAGACTACAAAACTCATGGGCCCCTGTGACAGGATGCACAGGTCGCACCGCCACAAGCGTGGGGATGTCACCACGCCTGTAGTCCATTGTTTACTTCCTCCAGCTTCATAATAAAAGGTCCATACTTCACGGCTCTCGCATGGACAGTGGGGCAGGTGGCTGTGAAGTCACAGCTGGCTGTCCACAGTTAACATCCTCCTGCTGGGGACCCAAAAACCAGTAAAGAACTGGCTTGGGTGAGGACAGTGCTGGATGCCTGGACAGGGGGGGTGTCTGTTTATTAAGGGACGGTTCACACTTTAGAAACGCAGTCCAGATGTGTTCCATATGCGTTTTTGCATGTGTGTTTTTGATGCATTTTTTGGCACGTTCTGGTGAGTTTTTGATGCGCTCCAGTGTGTTTTTTATGCATTCCAGTTAATTTTTCCCCCTCTCTTTCTTCAATTTAAATAGGGACATGTGCGTTCCAGTGTGTTTTTGATGCGTTTTACCGCGTTCCAGTACAGTTCTTTGCAGAAAAAATGCAGCATGTTCTACTGTTTTTTCTACAACTGGAACGCACTGTAATTGCAAGCGCTGATGTGAACTATGACATTGACAACCATATAACCTACTTTCTGTGCATTTTGGATGCAGAAAAAAGCAACTGAAATGCATGGAGTGTGAACTGGCCCTAAAAGTCAGTTTTTGTAGCTGACAACTTGAATGTTTTAGAACTGACTGAAGAGCCTCTTTAAGCAGATGGCAAAATCTACCCTTGAGTACATATTCACCTTCTATTTTGTTTCTCAAAAGAACAAAAAAGTTTATCTTCTTCCTATGAACTTTTTGCTTCCTCAGCTACAGTGGTTTGTCTATATCAGTGATGGTGAACCTTTTTGAGCCCGAGTGCCCAAACTGCAACCCAAAACCAACTTATTTCTTTCAAAGTGCCAACACTGCAATGAAACCTGAATATCGAGCTTTTGGTTTAGAAAAAAAAACAACTCGTACAGTAGTGCAAACTAATTAACAGTACAGGGATGACCAGAGACTGTGGACACAGTACAGGGATGACCAGAGACTGTGGACACAGTACAGGGATGACCAGAGACTGCGGACAGTACAGGGATGACCAGAGACTGCGGACACAGTACAGGGATGACCAGAGACTGCGGACACAGTACAGGGATGACCAGAGACTGCGGACACAGTACAGGGATGACCAGAGACTGCGGACACAGTACAGGGATGACCAGAGACTGCGGACACAGTACAGGGATGACCAGAGACTGCGGACACAGTACAGGGATGACCAGAGACTGCGGACACAGTACAGGGATGACCAGAGACTGCGGACACAGTACAGGGATGACCAGAGACTGCGGACACAGTACAGGATGACCAGAGACTGCGGACACAGTACAGGGATGACCAGAGACTGCGGACACAGTACAGGGATGACCAGAGACTGCGGACACAGTACAGGGATGACCAGAGACTGCGGACACAGTACAGGGATGACCAGAGACTGCGGACACAGTACAGGGATGACCAGAGACTGCGGACACAGTACAGGGATGACCAGAGACTGCGGACACAGTACAGGGATGACCAGAGACTGCGGACACAGTACAGGGATGACCAGAGACTGCGGACACAGTACAGGGATGACCAGAGACTGCGGACACAGTACAGGGATGACCAGAGACTGCGGACACAGTACAGGGATGACCAGAGACTGCGGACACAGTACAGGGATGACCAGAGACTGCGGACACAGTACAGGGATGACCAGAGACTGCGGACACAGTACAGGGATGACCAGAGACTGCGGACACAGTACAGGGATGACCAGAGACTGCGGACACAGTACAGGGATGACCAGAGACTGCGGGACACAGTACAGGGATGACCAGAGACTGCGGACACAGTACAGGGATGACCAGAGACTGCGGACACAGTACAGGGATGACCAGAGACTGCGGACACAGTACAGGGATGACCAGAGACTGCGGACACAGTACAGGGATGACCAGAGACTGCGGACACAGTACAGGGATGACCAGAGACTGCGGACACAGTACAGGGATGACCAGAGACTGCGGACACAGTACAGGGATGACCAGAGACTGCGGACACAGTACAGGAGATGACCAGAGACTGCGGACACAGTACAGGGATGACCAGAGACTGCGGACAGTACAGGGATGACCAGAGACTGCAGACATAGTACAGGGATGACCAGAGACTGCAGACATAGTACAGGGATGACCAGAGACTGCGGACAGTACAGGGATGACCAGAGACTGCGGACACAGTACAGGAGATGACCAGAGACTGCGGACACAGTACAGGAGATGACCAGAGACTGCGGACACAGTACAGGAGATGACCAGAGACTGCGGACACAGTACAGGAGATGACCAGAGACTGCGGACACAGTACAGGAGATGACCAGAGACTGCGGACACAGTACAGGAGATGACCAGAGACTGCGGACACAGTACAGGAGATGACCAGAGACTGCGGACACAGTACAGGAGATGACCAGAGACTGCGGACACAGTACAGGAGATGACCAGAGACTGCGGACACAGTACAGGAGATGACCAGAGACTGCGGACACAGTACAGGAGATGACCAGAGACTGCGGACAGCACAGGGATGACCAGAGACTGCGGACAGCACAGGGATGACCAGAGACTGCGGACAGCACAGGGATGACCAGAGACTGCGGACAGCACTGGGATGACCAGAGACTGCGGACAGCACAGGGATGACCAGAGACTGCGGACAGCACAGGGATGACCAGAGACTGCGGACAGCACAGGGATGACTGTTGACCTTTGGGGAGGGAGGGGGAGCGGGTACCTGAATTTGACAGGTACCCGCTCTTACTTCCGCAGAGTTTTTTTTTTATCTTACCTGTTCCTTTATCCAGCCGCGCGTCTTCCCGGCTTCTGTAGTGTGGGCGCTCGTCGGACAGCCGGATGCCCAGTGCGCATGCGCGAGAAGCGCTGCGCTTTGTGATTGGTCCGGCGGCTTCTGGGATCTGTCATGTGTCCCAGGTACCGCCTTACCATTCACAAAGAGCACTGCTTCTTGTGCATGCGCACTTGGGACCCGGCTGTCACGCACACTACAGCCGGGAAGACAGCGCGCCGCTGGATTCTCCTGGCGTGCCCACAGATAAGGCTCGGCGTGCCGGCTGTGGCACGCGTGCCACGGGTTCGCCATCACTGGTCTATATCATCCTTGGGTTTACTTTACAAAATAGAACTTCATTTTTTGCACTTATTTCTTTGAAGTTTTCCTAATCACACAGGCCAAGAATCATCCTATTTCAGAAGCTATGAAAGCAATTGATTCAGCTTGATAAGAAAACTCAGAATTTTTCTTTGCATCTCATTAGGGAGATTTCCCTTCACTTCCTGCTCTGTAGACTCAACAGGAAGGAAGAGGATATCTTACCGATCTGAGGAATATCCCCTATTAGACAGCTGCCATGGAAACAAGTATCCCTGTTGGAAGATTTCTATGGGTAGATGGATGAAAACAGACCGCCTGTCTGTTTACACCCGACTGCCATCCGAAGCAATCCACTAGATGGAAGGGGAATGGATCCCCATCCATCTGTTTTTAGCGGATCGGAAATAGGCATGCGTAAACAGATATCCAACCGGCATGCCCATTTACACTTGCCGCTCCATAGTGGAGAATGGAAGGTCCGCCTGAAAAACACTGACAGGTGGAATCGATCGGTCTCTTGGTGTGAATGGGGCCTTTGCATAATAGGTTATAAAACAATTTATATCTTGCTAATTGGTGTCAAATAGGTGCGATAAAATATTAACTCCTTCTCGCTGGCCGTATGCATATATGTGGACTCTTGGCGGATGGGCCTCAACACCGAGAAGCAGCATATATACATACCTAAAAGATAAAACAAAAACTGTACCGAGAGCATGTACCGTGCACGCTCCCAGCATAGGTACTGATTGTGACGATGGTGCGCAATAGAGACATGGATGCTGTACATGACAGCCATCTTATTAGGCCTCAGCCATTTTGTCTCTCCTTTCCTCCCTCTTTAAATGGAATTTATAGCTGTAAGTTGAACGGAAGTCAAAAGGGCCTCTTATCTTAAATAAAAACACAGATAGATGCAGCTCCAGGGCTGTGAACCGCTAATTAGGCTGGCCATAGATGGGCTGTTTATCGGCCGAATTGTCAGCTGATAAATTAAAAATCGGTCATTGCCATTGCAGATGCTTCCACCAATGTCTACGAAAAACGGAAGTTTTTTGTGGATTTTCCAGCATGACCGATAAAAAGAAACGAGAAGATCCACGAAAAAACGGCCGACGGAACTGCCCCACTAATGACGGGAATATTGGCCGATTTTTCGTGCAGATGAACATTCGGCCGATAAACGACCCGTGCAGGAGGTCTGCTTTAAAAACCACTTTCCTCTACTCGATCGTAAAACAATAACTCAGTCAGTCATGACCTGTTAGGCCATCAGGGCTCTAGGATGCACAGCGTGCCATAAAAATGTCCATTCCACATGTAGACATTTTTCATACAATTCATAAAGTTCAGCAGGAACTGAGAAAATTAATATTAAGTATATATTTCGATAGATCATTTTAATGTGAGTCAAACAAGGCCTTACATGACTATATTAGCACCTAGGATGGGGAAGAAAACAGTCTCTTCCCTCCTGGGTGACAAGGGTATGCTGTGTTTGGTATCCCTGGGTTTGAAATATTAATCTGCCTGTTGCTAGGATGCTACCTGTACCTATTGGAGGTTATTAACCTTAGTATGAAATTGTAAGGCGATTAGGTCATAACCTTGGTTGTCTCCTAGACCCTATCCCCAAACTGGATGATTGGTCATTTGTTCTCAATATGATAGAAAAAGACCGACAGGCTGGAGAAAAGACAGCTCTCATTTAACATCAATCAGGAAACATCTAACGGACTTGAGAGCCAAGGCAATCTTTTTTTTTGTACAGTTGGACACTGCTTAAACCAAGGACATTGCAAGTATTCTGCCTTCTGAACTGCTTTCTTTTATTCTGTTGTTTTATTATTCTCTTTATATCTTTGTAACATCTTTTTCTGTAAATTTTTAATTGCACCATTTTGACCTTGCTAGTAATAAATCCTTTTTTGAAAAGTGTTGAAAACGGTCTCTAAAGCTTTTAATGAAAACTAAAGAATCCCTGTCTCTTGAAGAGTGCTCCTGTATGTAATAATCCTCTGACTATATCTGTCTGTGGTGACAGTTTGTTACAGACGCTTATGCTAAATTCAGTGTTACTGCTAAGATTTGTGAGTTTCCTCCTCCTCCTGTAAAAATGTGGTGGTGGTGGCAGCGTGAAGGGTTAATTGCGTAATTAACCTGACCCAGTGACAATCGCTCTCAGGCTGCTGGCACATAGATTGCAGTCCCGCTAGCTGGAAAATCTTTGTGCACTTGAGAGTGGCATTGTTACGCAAGTGACAGCGCGGCGCGAGATTGGCTGGTCCTTCGGTCTCGAGTTGGTGAGAAGGGCAGGGGTCGGACGCCGCGTTCCGTCACACTGACGGCTAACGGAAAGCTCCCAAACTCTACGTATGATCAGGAGCTTTCTGATCATGTAACCACTGTGACAGCCAATCACATGATCTGAGACCCCTTAAAGGGCCAGGAGGTGCCAGCACCAAGGGGTTAAGGGTTCATTCACACCAGATGTGCTAGGTAAATGCATTCCCAATGCATGACAAGAAAAAAAAAATAAAAGGGAATGGTTCCCTATGAATGCAGTTCACACCAGTGCTTTGCATTGGGTTTGCACAGTGCTGAAAGAAAATACAGCATGCACTGCTTATTTCAGCACAGTGCAACACACAATGCAAACGCAATGCACTGCTACTCAAAAGACCGTTTTAAATAACGTATATCCCCTGGGAAAAAAAAAAAAAGACACATGTAAATGCACACCAACACATTACAAAAACCACAAAGCACCACAATGCATGTGTTAACATGCGCGTTGTGGTTTGAATATGCCCTCAATGGGTGAGCTGGCCATAGCCAGATTAAAATCTGGCCTTTTCAACGCAGATCAGCCAAACTTTCTTCAGTGGGTGTAAAGATGTGTACGCCCCAGACACAGGCACTCTGCATCTAGGGACATACCTCTGTACAACTTTTTAGGGTCCACTCACCCATGCACATGTATATTTTCTGCATGAACACAGGTTCTTGCTGGCAGAAGATCCTGTGTAAAATATGCACCTAAAGTACTCACCTTTAGATGTGTTTAGGAGTGTACAATTCTTCTTTCATTCAAATGAACGACTACTGTGAGGGTTAGCTCAAATGGAGATTACCGTCTCTGGGAAAAAGGCAGTCCACACAGCCGTTCTTTCTTAAAATTCTTTTCCTCGCTCTGTCACCCTAATCTTGTACGTACATAAGTGTTTATGCATGTGTATGCGCATACGAGCAGAAAATCTGCAGATCTGTGCGGCTGTGGAAGAAAAATGTCCTACTTTTTTTCACGTGGCTAAAACACAGCACACATTTTCCCCCATGCAGCTGTGTGTATGGGCTCATTGATTATTACAGTACTGTGTTTAGATCAGTGCTTCTCAACCTTTTTCCCCGTCAGGGCGCCCTTAAAATGTATTTTCAGCCTCAAGGCACCCCAGTTTAAGGCTTGGTTCACTTTACTGCGCAACAAAATCATAAGCATTCCTGACACACAGGCAAACATGCTGCTCCTTAGCAGATACACAGGGGTGTCCTTAATTCTTAATGGTACCCCACCCAAATGCAGTGTGTTTTCAGTGCAGCACACTTAAAAAAAAATGATCAGGGACTTCACACTCTGTGTTTCTGTGGGTAGGGACTGGCCTACCTGCAGCAGCACAGATGTGTACCTCCATTTTGGGGTGCTCACCTCCACATCCCAAACCCCCTCTCTGCTCACCTCTGCACCTCAAACCCACTCCACTCACCTCTGTACTAAAAAAAACAATTCCCCCCTCTGCTTACCCTGAATCCCTAACACCCTGCTCACCTCTGTACCACAAAACCCCCCATTTCACTCACCTCTGTACCCCTAACCCCCACTCATCTCTGTACCCAAAAAACTTCTTTGCTCACCTCTGTACCCCAAACCTCCTGTCTACTCACTTCTGTACTCCTAGCCCCCACTCACCTCTGTACCCCAAAAACCCCCCTCTCTGCTCACCTCTATACTACAAACCCCCTGCCTGCTTACCTCTTTACCCCAACCCCCACTATCTGCTCACTGCTGTACCCCAATCTCCTCTACTCACCTCTGTACCCCTAGCCCCCACTCACCTCTGTACCCCAAAATCCCCTCTCTGCTCACACCTCTATACTACAACCCCCTGCCTGCTCACCTCTTGTACCCCCCCCATGCCTGCTCACCTCTGTACCCCAACCCCCCACTCACCTCACTGCTGTACCCCAATCTCCTCCCCTCTGTACCCTAGCCCCCCACCACCCCCTCACCTCTA